CAAACGATACATTGTTTTGCAAGAATAAAACCAACTTCATTTGCTATTCAACTCGCGACAGTAAGGGAGCAACGTCATTCAGCTAATCAAGCAACTCTAAAACAAACGATAAATTGTCTTGCAAGAATAAAACCCAATTCATCTGCTAATTAACTCGCGAAAGTTAGAGAGCAACGTCATACAGCTAATCAAGCAAGTCTGTACTATTGTGGTGAATTATTTTGTTTACATCAAGCGATCAGGGCTAATAATATAGTTATTGCTGGGGCCACTAATTTCACAGGCTCTGTTTAACACAAGGCCCATTGGTCTCTTGTATACATGTATGTTGTACTGAAGGTATTGAAACGATATTGATAAGCAATTATGGATCAAGGGAAAAATTGTTTTTTTATAAGTTCAGTTTGCTTGTTTGTTTTTATGTTATAGAATTGGTGTACACATTATGTTTTGTCAAGTTTAATATCTTACGAGGTCATTTTGTAATATTTCATTGTTTGAATATTTATATGACGAGTAATGGCATAGCGCATGTATCGTTCTTTTGTGAAAATGATTATGTTGATAATTATTAAAGGAACCCTGTGGAAGGGTAACTGGAAGAAAAGGATACATTGATGAGCCCTACGGACAATCAAATAGCTAGGCTACCTTAGATAATTATATCAATTAGGGGGGTCTTAATTATCAAAGATGCAAATCATAATTATGTGGCACCAATCATGCCATACTTTCATTATCATCTCATCATAAGTGAAAAGGTTTTTACTGAAATTAGGCGGATTCTTACTCAGGGCTCAAATTAATTTTTTGTCCACAGGGGCTCTTCCAAAATAAAAAGCGCCCCGTGAGCCTTCTCACGGGGGCTCTTTTAGCACTGACGCGGGCTCTTTTTTTAATACAAATTTCCATTAAATTGGTGCAGGTACCCATGAAACTCCTAAATTATTTGCTATTTCATCATTATCATTAATAGTCGGCATTATTTTCCTCTTACAACTTTACAATTTATAATGTGCAGCTATAAATGGTCAGATCTCTTCCCTTTGTACGACATTTCTGGTCCAAGCCCGTATAAGTTCGCCTCCTTGCCAACATGTTTCCTTTTACTAATTTTAGCTTTCGGTTGATTTACTGGTCGAGGTTCATTATTTGCTGGTCTTTTGGAATCAGATTTCAGAGGATTCATGATTTTCACAACGAAAAACTTCTCCACGTTTCGGTCCTTGCGCGATCGCCTCTAGCTCCAGCAGATATGGGGCGGCAGCGTGCACACCGCAATCTTGCGGCGAAAAAGGTGTTTATTTCTTTACAATATCGTAGCCTCGAGACACCGAAAAATTCGAGCGAGAAATCCTGCACGCTATTAAAATATAACTTCAGTTCCATTTCATTGGTTTAATGTTTGAAAGTTGAAACTCAATATTGTGTGAAAGATATAACAGAAAGGATAATCTTTATTTTATATTTCTTATTTATTTCATTATTTATTTATATTCCACGGGGGCGATTTTTAATTTTGCAATCGCCCCCATAAGCACTCTGACGGAGGCGATTGTGTAGCTCACGGGGGCGAATCGCCCATCGCCCCCGTGTATTTTGAGCGCTGTTCTCACTTATTGTCTCAGATGTCTCCAGTTGTAATGTTCAGCTACCAAAAGTAAAATTAAGTTGCAATTTTGAACAAAGATTTTGAAACAATGCCCAGACAGATTAATTTTGTAATAGAACTTACTTAACCCTAATAAGGCCGGGGGGGGGGGGGGGGCCATTATGGCCCCCCTCCCCCTCCACAATTTTTCTGATTGCTCGGAAACGCATATGGATGGCGCCCCGCCGCTCGCTGACTTTTTTCTTTCAAGCCTTGCGCAACTTTTAAAATCATTTTTTTGAAAATCGGACCTACGGTTACAAGGTCACGTGACCTTTTGTCCTTGCATGTCAGCCTGAAAATCGCTCATTTTCGTGATTTGTGTACAAAACGTATGGCAAAGTCATTTTTCCTAAAAACAGATCAAACATGGGTTATTGGGTCTTGATTAAAGTTTAGGTGGTTGTTTTGGGAGTCAAAATAGTTGAATTGTGGTAAAAGATGAAATAAAACAACAAAAACGATGAAATACATAAGTTAAAAAAACATTGAAATACATAAGAAATTATCAAAACAAGGGATAACATACGAAATAAGCTGGTCCTTCAATTTTTTTGTTGTATTATTATTCAGAATGGTCTAATGAATATATCTAGTGAAAAAGAATGCTTAAATATGAATAATATATGATTTATGGGTAAAAATGTGATTTGTATGACTTTATTTGCATAAATTACCATAAATATGCAAATGAGTAAATTTTTCAAAAAATTGAAATTATCATATTATTCTTTACACTTCACTTGACATGCGTACAAATTTTCGCGGCGATCGGCCGCGGCCGAGATCTTAAGGGGGGGCCATAATGGCCCCCCCCCCGGCCCTACTAAGACTTCAAATAGCCCGGCCCTATTAGGGTTAAGAACTTTGTGAAGAATGTTATATTGTGAGAGGGAATTAAAGCCAATGTAATGCAAACTGTACCCATAGCTCAAGGGCCCCATTTTTATAGGTTCTGGGATTTAAAAAAAAAGATTTTATCACAACAATATTCAAATCAGACTGCACTGTAACGGTGTAACCATGGAAATATAAACTCATAACTGAAAATTTCATGAAATGCATCAGAATCTCTGCTGCAATGGATTGGAGTCTCTCCCCCAGTTACAGCTGTCGTTACCCCCTCACTAGCGAGTGAGTCTGGTTTGGCAGGGGGGAGGGGTAAGGGTGTCTCGAGTACAGGCTCGAGACGGGTTGCTCCCTGCACCGGATATTTTTTGCCTGGAGTTTTGCCTTGTGGTAAGAAACCGACGGATACCGAGTCCGGGCCGGCCAGTGGGCTGTGCTCCAGCGCCAGTATGTCGAGGTCTAGAGATTCTAAGTTACTGAATAAAGAGACTCCTACCAGCGGCAGTACGCCGTGGTCTAACGGACCACATGATATAGACTGGATAAAAACATTAATTGTCCAAGTGCGGTACAGATATCTCATAAGATATTAGACAGTAAGAATGTCAAAATTTGTTTTAAAAAGGATCGGATGGCAATAAGGGTAGAAAATGTTTTTAAAATCCCTGCTGCAATGGAGAGACTATTCAGACCGAAAAGTCAGAGTGTAAACAGATTAGGAAGTTTGACAACCTCTTATAGTCATAAGATCATATTAAACAGGGCAAAAGGGGCAAAAAGAAATTAAAATTCCAGAATTCATAAACCAACACTACACATTACTTGGTTGTGAACACATAAAAGGTCAATATAATTGACAGAAGGCCTACACATTCTGCCATACCTCGAGTTCTGGAGATAGTTACAATATAGCAAAAATGCTAGGCATCATTATTTGATACTGTAAAGACTTTAAATTTGTCTTATTTCAGTTATTAAAATTCTTGGTTACTACTTGCCTTCTTCCATATCCACTATTACATAATCATTTATAAATTTGCATTCTATATTTGCATATTAATTTTTTCAGCTCATGCTCCCATTTCATTCACCATCTTTAATACAGCACAGGCTTTCAGTTACACTACTGTCACACCTTATTTCTTTCCTCGACTTTCAACAAGTTCTCTTTGTTGCGTTCTCATTCTTTATGCATGGCGTACCTTGTTCTGCCCTAGCAACAGGCACTTTTTCTTCTCTCATTGCCTTGGTTCTCTTCACCTCTCACCTTTGAACTATCTAACCTGCTCACCTCATCTATCGTAATTGATTTCATGTTATAAGTTTAGAGAATAAATCTTCTGTGTTACTTTACTTAAGGAGAGCGGTTAGTTTGGTTTTCATGCAGAATGTTTAGCGATTGTTTTTGTTCAGCTTTCTGTGTGCCGATCAAAATATACATGTTGCACTACCAACATGTATTATTCACATCGCATTTCCTCTTAATTTGTCAAAGGCTTAAGAAATCTATTAGTAGTTTTCTTAACACAAGTAATATTGGTACCCATTTGGTCTAGTTAAGGCATCAACAGTAACAAGAGGATAACATAATCTGTCATATTTGGTAGACTTATGAAATACCTGTGCAGTTTTAATTTCCTCAACATTTTTCTCACTGCCAATCCTGATCTGAGAATCCAAGTCTGGAAATCCAGCTCTCTAAATGCTGCAAATCCCAATCTGCTTTGCCGATCTGTCAATCTCACTGATCTGGTAATCTCACTGATCTGGTATCCCTGATCTGCAATGCTGATCTTGAACTGCAAATCCTGAGCTGTGAATCCTGATTATAATAGGGGAAAAGAATGTAATTTTATGATACATTAGGTGGTGTCACACAGAGGCCAAAAATCCGGATTTTAGTGATCCAGATTTTAGTTATCCTCTTAATTGCTGTCTGTCATCAATTATCCTGTTAAAAATCCTCTAACAAAACAAGAAAATTCTCCCTTGAAAGGATTTTTCAAGGGATTTTTAAGGGATTTTTCTGTGTGACACCACCTAGTGTTAATTCACAGAGAATATCATAAACTATCCAATAACATTAACAAATTCCTGTGTAAACTGCTGTCTGTTTTCCTATTCCATTTCATACGTCAATTCCCATCCTCGACTCATTTTTCTTTTACAATTTTTTACATTGTGGACCGTTAAAGCTCATCTGTACTAGTTTATAAGAGGGATAAGACCACCCTGCAAGGTCACTGGACAGGTGGTTATCTCATCAACTCAGCTCTCAATTAACATAAGAAAAAGAGGATCATGGGGGACCAGTGGTCACCGATAAGGCATTGTTTTCTATATAGAGGGAGCAAGTAGCTACAATACAAGTACAGTACCTAGTACAGTGTGGCTTTAAGACATACAATAGATAGAATACCCCCTCCCCTGCAAACATTCTGATTTCAACTCAAGCCTTTATTTAAATGCATAATCATGATAATGTTCAATTGGAACTTGTTTTCAAACTAATTTATTTCACTTACTTACCTTTTGATAACTTTTCATCACAATTTGGACAGCCATGATCACTAATCTTCTCGGTCAGGTCCGCAATCTAAAGAGGGGGCATTTATGAAAAGAAAATGATATAATATTTTTACACTTTTGGAGTACAACATTTTAATGCTGCTTGTAAGTGTCGGCTTGCATGGTGATGTAGATATACAGTAGGCTTGCGGATGCATGCACCGTGCACTCCTGACGACGGATAGTCAACCTGTTCGAAACATCGAGCCACTCATCCTCTCCAAGCGCTATAGTTCTCCTTATAACTGTGAGGCAAGAAAGATAACAGACAGTCCTTTTCAGGACTACACAACCCCAAGAAAGATTACCGAGTCAGAGTCCTTTCCAGGACTCCTCAACCCTCCTCTCTCTCTCACATGGTGCACCCGCAAGACTACTGTATAACATTTTATAAGGATATAAACATGATTGGGTCTTAAAGCCCCACTGCACTAGTTTGGCCACAGGATTAGACCTCCCTGCATGGTCACTGACAGGTGGTTATCTCATCAAATAAGCTCTCAATTAACATAAGAAAAAGGGGATCATGGGATGGTCACCGATTACCGGTAAGCATTGTTTGCTATAGAGGGCACAAGTAGCTTTAACTTAGTGCAGTGGGGCTTTAAGGTAGATATGGGCCAGTGCCGCCTCCCTCCCCCCCCCAAAAAAAAAAAAAAAATAAATAAATAAATAACAAAAAAAAAATAATAATAATAATAATAAATAAATAAATAAATTTAAAATAAATCAATCGATCAAAAGGTGAATACAACTGCTACAATCTATACAATCTAAATGCAATTAATGATGCACATCATTTGTCAATGAAAAACAATTTTACTCGTGATCGTGTCCATCTTTCATTCATAAATCAAATGAAGACATAAAATGTTTGAAAATAGAAATGATTTTTCATACAAGAAAAAAAAGGGAAATTTACCATAGCATCACCCGCAAACTAAAGTTGTCAATCCCTCAAGTAGCCTCTTTGCCGGGACGGTTGAGGTACAAATTTGTGCAGAGGCCTTGCTTGGTTTCAGCAGCTTTGTCGCACATGTCTCTTGAAGTGAGTCAAGTGAGTTGGATCCACCTGTTTCAACACCTCCCTTCTCCGATGTACCGCAGTGCGGCGGATTTCTCGGCGCCCAATTCTCGAAGAGACGTATGTCGTCTGCAATAAATTGAAAAGACGATTAGCGATGATCGATATTCATCTGTAAACTATCATGATGCATGGTTAATGTGATATTACACATACTTCACAATCAGTTCACATTGTCATGTCCACTTCGTTTCCTTTCGTGTCAACTTACAACGATAACGGATACTTTCAGGGACTTGACTTTCAGTTGACTCGAGACAATCGCACCAATATTCAATTATCGTACTGCGCGTCCTACATGTTCAAATTCAACTGCGTACTTCTTTGACAAATGCATAGTAACGAACTATTTCATGCACCTGTTTCACGTTATTGCATTTCGATGAATAGCAGAATGTAGATTACATGCATCTGGTCACTCAAGCGAAATTGCTTGTCCGACCTCTAACAAAATAGTTCCTAATTCTAATATGATTATGATATCGGCATTTTATTGATTTACAATAACTTTTAAATATGAATCCTTTACAAAATTGGCCAATTCACGCGAGTGTAGATGCACTATACAGCCTTTTTGTCGCCCTTAAAAGGCATGAAAGGTTCAATACCCCAAATGCCTACAAGACCGACAAACTGTCCAAAAAAAAATCTTTTCCTATATGAATGTTCTTCTTTTCTTCTTTCTGTCCTTATACATTATATTTGATCTTCTTCCACTTATCGTAAGTACAATATGTTTTTGTATCTTTGCTTTGTTTTTTCCTTCTTTCCTTTTCTCATGTTGCGGTTTCTCATACATTTGTTGTAATCCAACCTTCAATTATTCCTTCTGCATTTCTTTCATTTTCTTGTTTTACTCCGCTGTTTCTATGTCCCGAGTTATTTTTGCTTAACTGTATATATTTTTTTCCTGCATTTTTCCAAATATAATAACAGAACTACAAAGAACATAATTATAAACGTAAAGTATGAAACAAAACATGCAAACAATGATAATTTCATGTCAAAATGTTTTAATAATAAAAACCCTTATTAACCCTTCTTTCATCTTTCATCTGTTATCTTTCTGTCCTTCCCTACTATTTCTAGTTTTGTTCTCTAATTTATCTTTCTACCGGCCTCGATTTTCCTTTATTACTCGCGATATGGTGGTTTATTTAATTTCCGTTCTTAATCTTCTTGTTTGTCTTTGCTTGTGTTTTTCTTTGTTTTATCGGTCTCGCGGGTGTATGGTCTACTAAAGGCCGTCTTATAAAGTTATATATTTCACATCAGAAATACAAAGATAATCCCGCATTAATACTCTACTCTTTACCCGTGTCATGCATTCAACAGTATGACAACAAAGTTAATAATTCCCACTTATGTGTTCACTAGCTATGTCAAATGTTTAATCAAACGTGCACTAATTTAACTCATCCTAAAAAAGAATACTTCTTTTATCCAGCCATTGTAGTCACCGTCGAAATTATGCCTACTTCAGAAACTCATTCACGTATTGCTCGTTACTTTCTATATTTTCCTCTTCCTTCACCACTCTTCTTTATTCTTTCTTTCTGATCTTCCTCCTTCCTCTTAGTACTTCTTCCTTCCTTCTTTTTTCTTCTTCCCTCTTCCTTCTTCCTTCTTTCTTCTTCCCTCTTTCCTCTTCCCGAGAAGAAAGAGAAGGAAGAGAAGGATGAGGGGAATAATAAGGAAGAAGGGAGAATGAATAATGAGAAAGGAGGAAGGAGGGAGGAAGAAGGAAGAAAGAGGGAAGGAGGAAGAGGGAAGAGGGAAGAAGAGGGCTCATTCTCCCTTCTTATTATTCCCCTCATCCTTCTCTTAATTTCTTCTTCTCCTACTTCTTCTTCTTCTTTTTCTTCTTCTTATTTGGTTCCTCTGCCTCCTTCCATCCTGAAGTCTTGCAGAGTATTTAAATGTACACCTCAATTTAAAACACTTCTCAGACACCCATTAAATAACAGACTTGTAATCAATTAATTACAATGAGCAACTTACTAGTCAATATTATGTCCGTGTCAGCAAGGTGTCGACTAAGGTGCGGCCTCGACAGATCTACGTTCGTAGTAGTTCCATGGTTTGCCGACCTCCTTCTTAGGTGTCCGAGAGTTGCAGTGATAAGATCCGGGATAAAATACCCCCAAAAATCTTCTCAAATCTTCTCCAGGACCAAATCACCCAAAACTATATCCTTCCACCTTCTAATGAATATTCAGAACCTATACCAACTGACAATAGACCATTTTCGTAATGTAACCAAATTTAATGCACAATCTTTGTCAAGTGGTTACAAATAATTTCATCCACCTGTTATGAATAAATGTATTTCAGTAGTCAAAATGGAATTGCATACATTACGTGTTGTTGGTGAGAACAAGTCATAATGTTTGTCCAACCCAGCAATAATGGGTAATAATTCAATGCCATGCAATTCGCATTCTGACTATTGAAATACAATTATTTGTAGGTAGGCCTACAGGTGATTGAAAAAAATTGTAACACGGCACTTAACAAAGATTTATACATTACATTTGATTACATTACAAAAAGATCTATTTGTAAATTCATTCACCATATGGTTCAAATGAACTGATTTTATGCAACTCGAACATGTTCCAATGCAAAAGAACAGGTCATTTCTTTATCAGGTTCCAAGCGACATTATACAAATAACGCACGTCCCAGAGTGCAATAGCGGTGAATGCAGTACGCGCGAGGTTTCTTTAGATTGGTGCCGCTCTGTGCAACGAGCCGCTTGCGGCGAGTTGACAGTGCGAACCATCTGAAGAAACCGAGCGTTTACTGCATTTACGTTTTGCACATCAGGGTCAAGTGCGTTATTTGTTTTATAAAATAGCGACACAAATAGCAAAAACGAAACTTTAGATCTAATAAGTTAGAGTCTACGAGAGTTCGATCTAGATCTAGATCTAGAGTTATGTTGGTTCTAGACCTACTTCTAATTAGACTAAGAGTAAGACCTTGCAGGCTTACCAAAAAGTCAATGGGATTCATTGCCTTGATTAAAAATAAAATCCATACAGTGGGTCTAGAGACGAGTCTACATCAGACAGCTGAAATTCCTGGCTTCATTATAAAATCCAAAAGTCAAAACAGGCCTAAATCCAAGGCAAAAGTAAAATAAAAATTTGCTTTTTAATAATACCCCGCTGGCCGCTCTAGCTAGCTAGCTACGCGTACGTTGCGCTGGGGATCATGGTGGAGCGTACAATATTAGCTAGCTACGCGTAGCCTACAATAATTGCAATGCAACTCGAGGGAGCGCGTACTACACGTACGCGCGCGCACTGGATCTCCATGGTCACGCGTACGCACCGTGCAATATAACTTTTTACTGCGCTTTTTCTGCACTCATTTCTGCAAAATCGTGCTTGCATCAAAATTTTTTCAATGTCATGTGACGCGTATTGACCAATCACGATGCTTAAAATACTAGAGCCATTTTATAAATTATTATATCCACCTGTTATACTTGTAATTTCATTTCTATATTCAGAATGTTAATAACGTAATATAACCAAATTTAATGCATACCGGTAAGCCTTTGTGAATTGCCTCAATAAAAATGATGTCATTCACCTGATAAGAATTATAGAATTTCAATAGTCAGAATGCAAACTGCATGAGTGTTGCTGGGTAGGTCAAGCCATAATGTTTGTCCTACCTGGCAACAACTAATGAATGCAGTTCGGATTCTGTCTATTGAAATACTGTTATTCTTATCAGGTGAATGAAATAATTTGTATTGAGGCACTTCACAAAGACTTATGCATTAAATTTGGTTACATTACGAAAATGGCCATGATATCATTAGGTCGGATTAGCTTGGCTGACATAACAACTATGTAATTTATATTTTGGCATGTTTAAAATGTAATACATCGGATCAGGTGTATGCAATAACAATTATTGTCACCTGACACGCTAACGCTTAATGAAATACATTTCCAAAAGATGGCGTATGTCTGCTCAACACATGCGTGTGAAACTTTTCATCCTCCAGTGAATCTGGTAATTCTGGATCACCACGCGAATAATTTCTAACGTCTCCTCCTCTCTTCCTCCTCCTCCTCCTCTCTTCCTCCTCCTCCTCCTCCTTCTTCTTCTTCTTCTTCTATTTCTTCATCTTCCCCTTTTGAAACTTTTCTTTTCCTTTATTCTATATTTTCTATTTTGTTTTGTTGTGTTGTGTTGTTTTTTGTTTGTTTTTGTTGTTCGTTTTCTGTTTCATCTAATTTTCATGCGAAATTCAGTTTTCTAATATAAACAGATCAGTTCGTTTTAATAATCAATTTATCCAAATTAATCTAAGAATTAAAGCTCGTCTGCACTAGTTTGGCCAGGAGGGATTAAAGGGATTAGCGTGGTCACTGACAGGTGGTTATCTCATCAACTCAGCTCTCAATTAACATAAGAAAAAGAGGATCATGGGGGACCAACAGGCACCACTTAGGCATTGTTTTCTATAAAGATGGAGCAAGTAGCTACAAGTAGTACAGTGGGGCTTTAAGTGTACCTCGCACAGTAGTAAAAATTCTGTCAAAGAAAGTGCCAAAATACCATTTTCGTAAAGTTATACAGCGCTCGCCTATGGACGAAATATTGCATTCACCAGTATGCTAGGTATTGTAGGCTATGGTATTTGAATTGTCAGAATACAAATTGCAAAGATAAGTTGTTGCTAAGTTATACAAATATTATGGCTTGTCTGACCTCGCAACACATGAATGCAATCTGCACTGTGACTGAAATACATAGCAGGCTCATAACAGGTGAGTGAAATAGTTTGTCATTAGATACTTGACAAAGAGGTATGCGTTTAACTCATCACGGAAAAGGCCTTTTCGATGGCACCCCTTTAAGCCCTCTTTTTTTAGTGACCCTTCATTTGATTAAATCAGTCACAAAATATACGGAAATGATTACTAGACCAGGGAGGTGAAAGAAAGGAGTGGAAACTCTTTATTCAAACGCATTCGTGAGATTCTAAAGCATAACAATGGGATGTGTAACATTCCTCTTGGCTTTGAAATTCCATGCTCCGAGCCGCGCTTCCACTGCAATTTTTCAAATTGAGTACTCCGCCCTTCCAATAATTTGTGTGCCAGAGTTGGTAAAAGAAAAGAAAAATTAGATCCTGACAAAACCCAATATTTTAGGATAATGCGCTAAATTATGCACGTTTTAATGTCCCTTTATTTAATCCATGATTTACAATCTTCGATAACTTTAAGTTTGCTATTGTATTTTTGCAGTTGGAAAAAAAGGATGAAATTACACAAGTTTGTGTTCGCTTGTTCTACTCATTACACATTCAACAATTGATAAGAAATCATTGAAAGGAACACCGAACAGTTGCTGGGATACCATTTTCTGATGTAGGAATTCTAAATCCTGAAATTTCATGCGCTCTTTTATCTCACCACCTGGTCAACAGTTGCAGATTAGCGCATAACTTTTCG